CTTCTTGTTGATTATCTGATCTACCATTTTTATAGGAGTGGTTAAAATATGCTAATAACGGTCCTCTTAGTACATACGTATGGTATGTCATCCAACCCTGGAGTAATCTCGGACTTAAAGGCTTTGATTGCATCCAGAAGTTCCTCCTCTGTAATTTGGTTTTCTGTACACGCCTGTAATCCATCATAGGTACACGTCAACTATGACAGACAAAATGAGATTTTTTTTTCTCCAGAAAATCACATTGTAGGATTTATTATGATTTTATTTGCAAATTATGGTGGAAAATAAGTATTTGGTCAATAACAAAAGTTTCTCAATACTTTGTTATATACCCTTTGTTGGCAATGACACAGGTCAAACGTTTTCTGTAAGTCTTCACAAGGTTTTCACACACTGTTGCTGGTATTTTGGCCCATTCCTCCATGCAGATCCACCCCCATTCCTCCATGATGTTTCCACCCCCATGCTTCACAGTAGGTATGGTGTTCTTTGGATGCAACTCAGCATTCTTTGACTGCGTTGTCAGGAGCTAGCGACAAGGCATTTCTCTGCACCGCTATAACACTCCTGCTAAAAGGCGTACGCGACCAATAGACTTTGATTTGAATTCCATACAAAGGCTCTGCGAAAACACCAACGTCACTCTCTAGTCATACTTTGCGTTCTGGGACTCACTTACTACGTTGTCCATCTGTTCTTTAGTTCTTCTTAGAACTTCAGACTCATTTTTATAAACTCTGAAAAAAGTTATGTTGCTTCAGCTTCACTGTCTGTTGTTCAGAACAGGGCTTTGTGTGTGCCAAGACACTTGGCAGGCCCCATATGTTTCTGACAAACACAATCTTTCATAAAATGATATGGAACAGAGAGAGCATGTCCTGGTTTTTAGCATCCCCCCCCCCTCTGATGTATATTCCCGTTGGTTCTCTCTACAAAGACCCAGCTCCAAGAAGAAGAGAAGAATTAAGAAATCCTTTGTTACTTCTGGATGGACTTGTCAGTTATGTGATTCTCAATGATTTGATTCTCCACTCTCTTTGTGGTAGAAAAAAGTTTTTTCATGAAAAAAAAAAATACATCTGACTGTCGTTTTTGATCTCAAGCGGTGACAGAAATCGTGAAGATTAATTTTTTGTCAGATTATTTGCCTTTTTGTTTTGTTTTTGAGAGACCCCCCCTGTCGAGTTAAATCTCCACTCCATCAGTTTTGTCCATCGATTGGTGTAAGAGCCAATTTATGCTTGATCCTAAAATGTGGTGGGAGGCAACGTATGGATGGTTTGATGCAATTGCACCATCCATTCGCAGAGGCCAAATTGAGCTCCGTGCCGCATCGCCGTGCGCCTCTCAAATTCTGTAACAACGCAGAGGGCTCCGTTTATCTCCGCATTGACATGATTGGTTGATGGTAGGTGAGGGCGGGAGGTCCTGTATAAACACAAACTCACTTCCTTGACAGCTTACTTCACAACAGCTCTGCGCTGCTCGGCCAAGCGCAATAATGATGAATGCCCTGACCTCTGCAGAGGTCATATCACCGTAAATGCTGCACGGCCAATGCAGACCACGGATTGACCATGCAGTGCCTTTAAGGTTGTTTGATGTCCAAACCCCATTGTCGAAGAAAGGAAACCAGTTTAAGAGAACACGTTTTCATTAGTTTTCAAATCAGATCGGATTTAAAAAAATCATGTTTGCAAGCAGTGATTACACAAAACACTCCAGGTAATCATGGTCCCAATATTCTTCTAGCACTCAAGTTTAGTTTCTGAAACCACTCACTGCAACTGTCAACAACAGAACTCATTCAGAGAGAAAGAAAAATCACAGCACGTTGTCGTCTGAATAAAAAAAAAAAAAGACACCACACACAATCTGACCCCACTAGCTATGACAACACACTGGAGTTAATACTAAACAAGCTAAACTTGTTGTCCGACTGAAATGATAGATTCTATTTTATTATAGTGCAGTCTACTTGTAATTATTCAGTCAAAATATACAATTTAGAAAATGGCACTATCCACATGTGACGTTTACGACCGTTATAACATCAATTCATCGTATAATCAATATATATATATTTTTTGTACAAACTATTTTAAAGTAAAGGATGGCATCCAGATCCTGTTGAACTCATACAGACAGCCACAGAAATACAGTATATCCTGTTGAACTCATACAGACAGCCACAGAAATACAGTATATCCTGTTGAACTCATACAGACAGCCACTGAAAGACATCCTGTTGAACTCATGCAGAGAGCCCCAGAAAGACATCCTGTTGAACTCATACAGACAGCCACTGAAATATATCATGTTGAACTCATACAGAGAGCCCCAGAAAGACATCCTGTTGAACTCATACAGAGAGCCCCAGAAATACATCCTGTTGAACTCATCCAGAGAGCCACTGAAATACATCCTGTTGAAATCATACAGAGAGCCACTGAAATACATCCTGTTGAACTCATACATACAGCAACAGAAAGACAACTAAATGTGCGACCCAGACTTACATTTTCAAGTGGATTCACATCCTTGTGTGCATCAATTTCCTTAAATAATCAAATTAAGATATTGGAAAGGCTTAATAACATGCTAATGAGATATCCTGTATTCACAGCAACATTACATACAGTACACTATATACAAGCAAAAAGCTAAGTTATAATGAACTTCTTAAAACTCCCTCTGAAATCAGCACATTGACAGCCTCAATAGCATTTCAACTTTTCCAGACTGTCTCGTTTCCCCAATAAGGTTTCCCAAAGGTCTTGATCATGTCTGGTGGTAATCTTATTGAAAAATAAAACATCTGTCATTCTTAAATATTATTGAACTCACCATGTAGATGTTATGAAACGTTGATTTAATTTGTTCATATTTGTTCATAGATTTTTTTCAGCATTACCAGGAAACTAAATCCATGAAAAGTATTGTCAGTATTGTTCAAAGAGAGACAATCATCGTTTGTGTTGTCCAATGTCCTTGAAGATTCACACAACCTCCATATAATACCTTGAAGTGCTTTAAACAACAATACAATTCATGGTAGAACATATCTATAGATTGCCACACCAGATAATGTGACTTAACCAAAACATATTGGCATCCATTATACTGGGAGTTGCAGGTTTGGTACTGTTTGATGTAGCACAGAGAGTTTCTGACCAACCCTTAGCGTTGCGATACTGTCTTCGTCCTCGACTCGTGGAAACAGCAGTCTCATAAAATGACAGTGTCCAGTTGCAGGGGGTCCGTTTGAATTTAGAAAATGATCCGTTATTAAAATAAATAAAATAAATTCTCCATGAAGTAATCCAACAATGTGTACGCTGCCATCTTGTCTTTTTCAAATCTTCTCTCATTGATTGAGACAGGTTGTTCCCCCCCAAAAGTGCCGCATGTCGTGAAGACAGACACCTGTGTCGATCAATGAGAGAAGACTTGAAACAGACAAGATGGCAGCGTACACATTGTTGGATTACTTCATGGAGCAAAAAAAATATATATTTATTTTAATAACAGATCATTTTCTAAATTCAAATAGACACCCTGCAACTGGAAATTGACATTTTACGGTCCATCATTTTCTGTGCTACACCAAACAGTAGCTAACCTGTAACTCCCAGTATAATGGTACCAAAAAAAACACTGGTTAAATCACATTATCTGGTGTGACAATCTGTAGCTTGGTAGTGCATTGATGCCACATCTCCTGTCCTCTCTCTTTTACAAAAAAATGTAAAACAAACAATGCAGACATTTTGTTCAATGTAGTTTAGAATCCAGTTTTAATGTTTAAATGAACCATAAAAAGCACATTAAAACATTTTCTCATTTTAGTTACAAAAATGGGTCACCTAAAGTTCTTATCAATGCATCACAGAAGGATCTGAACAGAGGATGTCTAACCCGTAAGGATTTCTCTTAAATATCCCCCCCCCCCCCCCAAATATATCAACTTAATTGTTTAACCAAGGTATATTCAGGGCATAACATCCTCGGATCTTAATGGTTATCAAGAAAGTTTGAGGTATACAACCCCCCAAAAATGTACAAAAAAAAAAAAATAGATTTGAATAGAATGAAAAGCACAAGTAGAGTTCAATAAAAAGTAAAACGAATGCCATGATTGCTTAATACAAGCACAGTATCACAACATTAGTGGGATATGTTGCAATATGAGAGTTGGTGAAGTTTGTTTTCGAAAGGCAAAACTGCAAATAACATATAGCTTTGGATGGTCAATATATACAAAGGGGATACATTATTAGGTACACTGTATGTATTTATCGACAAAATATAATTATGTTTTATTTCTGTCTGTCTTTATTAATTTCTTTAATATATATATATATATATTATTTATTTTTTGAATATTGAAATTAAGTGCCAGATGATATTCTGATATACAAAATAATAATAATTAAACATTTTTTTATCAAAATACACCTTCTTTCTTAGCACCTCTTAATTTGTGTGTGTTTTGAACAAGCACCATTGTAGTATTTATTTTTGTACAGCACCTGGAGAATCCAGAAAAGAGGTCTCTCTCTTTCTTTCTCTTTCTCTCTCGTCTCTCGACCTCCCTCGTTTTTCTCCTGTTCTGCTCTGCAACACCTTCAAATGTCCTTCACCTTTGCTCCATAACAGGTTTAAGTCATGTGATTCTAGCCCTACAAGGGCAACAAGTCTTGTCCTGGTAAAACATACATGGCAAGCAAGACCTGTTCCCTGCATCATTTCTTATTAAAAACTTGAATGTCACATGGAAAAAGGTGGGGGGGGGGGCTGGGTACTGGGGTTAGGTGGTATGGAAAAGGTTGGGGGGCTGGGTTGGGGGGTTTGGAAAGGGGGGCTGGGTTGGGGTCTTGGTTGGGGGGGGTTTGGTAAGGGGGGCTGGGTTGGGGTCTTGGTTGGGGGGGGTTTGGTGGTATCCAAAATGTCTTGACCCCGCCAAGTGTTGTTTTTCTTTTTAGCCAAGGAAGCAGTTAGCCAAGGAAGCAGACTGGACCCACTTCAAATCCAAACTTCTGGCTGGCATCTCCAAAGTCATTCAACCTGACATCGATGATGGGAACCTGATCGATCTTGGGAGTATTAATCTCCATAACAGTCTTTCCATAGCCCTTCCTCGTCTGTAAAGAGAGAATAAAAAAAAAAAAATTAAAAATGTTTAACACTTTCAGCAGTCAGACACAACCTCATTGGAGCTATGAAACAAGTCCAACAAAACAATCAATGGGGACATTTTACATACTTGACAGACTTTCCCAAAAGTACTTGAACTATCACTATAACGGACAGGCAGTATCGAGGGGAAGCCCTTACCGCGCATCCGTCTGTGAGGGGCCTGATGTAGGGGTTGCTGTCGCAGGACATCTCCTCGTCGTTGGATCCTAGGAATCGCAGCGCCTTGTCGTAGCTGTCTGTGGTCTCATCGTGCCACACCACAGACTTGTAGCAGCTATAGGTGAAGTTCTGCCTGGCCGAGGCCGTCAGTAGTTTCAGGAAGGTCATCTGAACCTCGCTTATTGTGTTGCCGGCTGCGTCAACGTATGAAAACTGTTTATTGGGTGTGAGAGATAACAGAAAAATAGATTGAGAGGTCAGAAATGGAAACGTGGGATTGGATACAATATACTGCTTAGAAGTGTTCTATCCCAAGAGTTCTTATAAAACACGAGAAAGGCTTACAGCTTCCAAAAGGACTGATTCAAGGCAGAAAGGAGTTGGAGCACTCAACAAAAAAGGCAGGGATATATTTATTTTAGCTCACTTTAATCCACTGTACAGGATGAGAACAGGTAACTGAAGTTTCAAAGTCAAGCTGACACCTTCCTCCTCCACTTCTGGCTCGAATTAGTCCTTTTGGAAGTTTTTCTTGGTAAGCCATTCTCATGAATTTGCTGAAGCAAAGGCCCACCTCAACTCTTCTTATTAAACATGCTGTCAGCATCAGTTATACAATCTCTCTCTCAGACGGATGGCCAAACTGAGTCTTAAAGCAATAGAAAAATAATATTTTCCTCCTCATCTTTGAGCCTCCTTCATCAATCCCAGACTGTATGAAATATGAATGTGAACAGTCTGAAGGGGGTTGGGGAGAGGTCTTATATGAGAGGTCTGGATTCCTTTGTGGCTTAGCGACCTGGGGTCACTTCCAGAGACACTTTTATGTGCCTCTCTTCTATCAGTCTTTGTGGCCTAACTGCCACTTCTGAAAAGCCTCTGTACTGACAGACAGAAGGCAGAGAGATGGCCAAGTGGGAGCCCGAGAAATCATTTTAGTTTAGTATTGTGGAGAGGAGACATTTCTTTTGAGAAGAGAAACAGAGGAGGATGAAAGCGTGGAGTTGAGGGAGTACTTACTGTTTTTCCATGCTTAAACTCACTGAACCACGACCCTGGAACTTCTTTGGGCCATGAAGATATTCTGACCTGTAGAGCCAAACAAATGAAGCACCTATTTACTGAGAAGAACACAGTTTTCTTCCTACAATTTAAGAGCTGGTTCCTGGAATTAGGTTTAGCTTTGATCCGTCAAACGTAGTGCAATATACAGCTAGATACCCCTTCCCTCAGATCTTAACATACAGGAAAATCACTACAGTATAGCAGTTGAATAAAAAATGCATATATCAGTTTGTTTCTGACAGTTAGGGTTAGGTTTAAATGTAAATGGCCAAGCAGTGAACCCATCAAACATCACCAACCATGCATCTCCCAGTCCCATGGCCCTCACTAGCATGTGAGTGACCACATCAGAACATGATCTAGAATTCAACAAGACCATGGCTTGACTCTGTGCTTTACTTGATAGTATGAGTGTGTCGTCCTCTTGGAGGAAATAAAAATGCCACTCACGCCGCTGGACTTCTTATCTGGGAAGATGCAGGTCTCTCCGCCAGCCGTGAAGTTACAGTAGACAGAGAAGGAGTCCCCTGAGCATCCCTGGTTAGGATCTATCCAGTACTCGCCTGTGGAACAAAACCCAATGATGCAATGAAATACCTCTAATAATTATTATTATAATATTATACAGATAATCTAATAATTTAATAATTTAATAATCTGCAGTTCTCTCTAGTTCTAAGGTTCCACCGACAACTAAAAACTAAAATCTAAAAACTAAAAATGTCAAAACCAAAACACGTTTAACTGCTCTATGAGAACCATGTGTTGGATCAAGGAAGATTACAGACGACGTAAATCATGCTACCACATGTCATGCTTAAATAGATAAAAAGGAATATGTTCATATGTTTAGCCACAACAGATCTTCTAACATTCAGTGCAAACATTTAAAAGGTACTAAGTGATGGGATATCAGTCCTTGCCCGAAACAGGTAACCCTCATTGAGTCTTGTATTAATCCACGTCCTCATTTCGAGTCATAGACCAAATGGCACAGTTCTAAGCAATCTTGTGTCTACAGTATACCATGTCAAGCCAACCCCATGGCTATTTCATATATAGGGTTACCTACTGATCATAGCATGTTTGTGTTAGAGAATCCCGCAGCTGTGGCCTTGGACTGATTCATGTAAATGTCAGAAGTAATGATTTCGAAATATCGATCTCATTGTAATTCTGGCTTCTGAAACTAACACAGACATTTTGATAAATACTGAGACTTGGATAAACAAGTCTGGTGACAGACTGATGTGTCTCTGAATGGATATAATGTGTATACTGTAGATCTGACAGAGGTGGGGGTGTCACCATATCCATAAAGAAAACTTGAATGTTGCTGTGTGTAATATCACCTCTGTCCCCAAGCAATTTGAATGTCTTGTTCTAAATGTGGGCCTTGGTAATAATGCCCAACTAACGTTTGTGGGAGTTTATCACCCTCCCTCTGCCCTCCCAATTGCTCTTAGAAAATTGTCTGACTTGCTTTCTAACTATGATAAATCTGAATGATTAATATTGGGAGTAAATGAGACGCTGGTTTCAATTGGTTCCCCTGAGTAAATAAAAGTACAAAAATAAAAAATAAACTTTGAAAGGTCATAGAATGACCTGGTAATTCTCTGTATCAAGTTTGGGAAAAACAAACCCCAAAAGTTTCTCACTGAAGGTCTGTTAATGTTAAGTATAACCTCAATAAAGTCTTGTTCTCAGTGCTATTTAAATTCACCACTGCAACACACGCTACCTACAAATATATAATCTACATCCCAATATCATCTCTACAAAATGAGCAAAACAGCATTCACAGCTAACGGATTCCTTGTCTAGCTAAACAAAATGGCCACAAATCCCAGCCATAGCATTAGCATATTACCCATAACACCCCTCTCTGTGACTCACCATTGGGGAACTCTGGGTGTGCGAGCTGCAGGTCTTTGCAGGTCCTGGCTGGGTTGTTCTGTGTGCCCATGGGGTACTTCATCCTCTCAATGTCCTGTTTGAGGTTGTTGAGCGAGCCGAAGATGTCCTCCATGCCCTCTCCGTAGTCCATCATGGTGCCTGCAGCGTCCGCCTGCATGTCTGCGTGTCTGCGGTTCTTCTTGGGCGACTGGATGGGCAGTGGCTGGATCACCTCACCAGGGGGACCCTGTAGAGCAGAGAGGGGAATCCCATAGTGTCACAACGTTTTCTACAAATAACCTCATGAATTCCAGCTAAAAACAGAATTGCCCTATTTTTTTATCTTAGAGTGGACCCCCAAATTAATGTACAAGTAATACTCACAGGAGAACCAGGTGGACCGATCGTACCGGTGTCTCCCTTCTGACCAGCAGGACCCTGGAAAGAGCATGGAGATTAAGACATGTTGTCATCTCTGGATTTCACAAGCACTCCTTTAAATGACTGTCACAGGACTTTCACCAGTTGATACAGAGAGTGGTTGAACAGAACTTACCGATGAACCTTTAGCTCCCTTGGGACCTCCAGGGCCCTGGAAGAGACAACACACACCGCTGAATGAGTAAAGAGGAGACGACTATGTTGTATCATTACATGGACGTGTTAACTATGAGACTATGCTCTAAATAAAATAGAGAAAACAGGGTACAGTCTTACAGGCAGGCCGGGAGGGCCAGGGGGACCGAGTGGACCTGAAGCTCCGCTGATACCCTGGGGAGAAGAGACCAGATATCAGTGAGACAACAGTGAGAGAACAGTGGGACGAAAGTGAGACATCAGTGGGACATCAGTGGGACAACAGTGAGACATCAGTGGGACATCAGTGAGACAACAGTGGGATGACAGTGGGACATCAGTGGGACATCAGTGGGACATCAGTGGGACATCAGTGGGACATCAGTGGGACATCAGTGAAACAACAGTGGGACATCAGTGGGACATCAGTGGGACAACAGTGAGGCATCAGTGGGACATCAGTGAGACAACAGTGGGATGACAGTGGGACATCAGTGGGACATCAGTGAGACAACAGTGGGATGACAGTGAGACAACAGTGGGACATCAGTGGGACATCAGTGGGACATCAGTGGGACATCAGTGGGATGACAGTGGGACATCAGTGAGACAACAGTGGGACATCAGTGAGACATCAGTGGGACATCAGTGGGATGACAGTGGGACATCAGTGAGACAACAGTGGGACATCAGTGAGAGATCAGTGGGACATCAGTGGGATAACAGTGAGACATCAGTGGGACATCAGTGGGACATCAGTGGGATGACAGTGAGACATCAGTGGGACATCAGTGGGACATCAGTAGGACATCAGTAGGACATCAGTGAGACATCAGTGGGACATCAGTGGGACATCAGTAGGACATCAGTGAGACATCAGTAGGACATCAGTGAGACATCAGTGGGACATCAGTGGGACATCAGTAGGACATCAGTGAGACATCAGTGAGACATCAGTGGGACATCAGTGGGACATCAGTGGGACATCAGTGAGACATCAGTGGGACATCAGTGGGACATCAGTGGGACATCAGTGAGACATCAGTGGGACATCAGTGGGACATCAGTGAGACATCAGTGGGACATCAGTGGGACATCAGTAGGACATCAGTGGGACATCAGTGAGACATCAGTTGGACATCAGTGGGACATCAGTGGGACATCAGTGGGACATCAGTGGGACATCAGTGGGACATCAGTGGGACATCAGTGGGACATCATTGGGATAAAGAGTGGCTAGATTGCAAGGGAAACAATAACAACCTCTGGCAACGTTTTCATGAGCCCTGAAATGTAGTTTGTATTTTCGATTGTCATTGTGCTATTTTGGTGAGCCATACAGCTAGATGGAGACCCCCATTCTTCTGTTTCTCAAGCCTAAACTAGAGACAGACAGATGGACACCCCCATTCTGCTCAGACATATAGAAAAAAAAGTGACATTACAATTCCATTAGGCTTTAATCTAAAGATGATAAATCCATTCCTTCACCTTAAATGACGGACTGGGGCCGCTGAAAGGCCATGATGGGTCTCATACTGCTCTATTCACTCAATCTGCAATGTTTATTTAATAATGGACGAGCGCCTTAATGTCGAGCTTCATCAGGCTAGGGCACTGACCCTGTCCGAGTACTGCTTAACATTTCTATCTCCCAGGAATAAAAATGGGTTTGGGATATAGGACAGTGAGGGAAATAAGTATTTGATCCCCTGCTGATTTTGTACGTTTTGCCCACTGACAAAGAAATGATCAGTCTATAATTTTAATGGTAGGTTTATTTGAACAGTGAGAACAAGAATAACAACAAAAAAATCCAGAAAATAATGAATGTCAAAAATGTTATAAATTGATTTCCATTTTAGGAAAAAAAAAAAAAAAAGTATTTGACCCCTCTGCAAAACATGACTTAGTACTTGGTGGCAAAACCCTTGTTGGCAATCACAGAGGTCAGACTTTCTTGTAGTTGGCCACCAGGTTTGCACACATCTCAGGAGGGATTTTGTTCCACTCCTCTTTGCAGATCTTCTCCAAGTCATTAAGATTTAGAAAGCTGACGTTTGGCAACTCGAACCTTCAGCTCCCTCCACAGATTTTCTATGGGATTAAGGTCTGGAGACTGGCTAGACCACTCCAGGACCTTAATGTGCTTCTTCTTGAGCCACTCCTTTGTTGCCTTGGTCGTGTGTTTTGGGTCATTGTCATGCTGGAATAACCATCCACGACCCATTACAATGCCCTGGCTGAGGGAAGGAGGTTCTCACCCAAGATTTGACGGTACATGGCCCCGTCCATCGTCCCTTTGATGCGGTGAAGTTGTCCTGTCCCCTTAGCAGAAAAACACTCCCAAAGCATAATGTTTCCACCTCCATGTTTGATGGTGGGAATGGTGTTCTTGGGGTTATAGGCAGCATTCCTCCTCCAAACACGGCGAGTTGAGTTGATGCCAAAGAGCTCGACTTTGGTCTCATCTGACCACTTTCACACAGTTCTCCTCTGAATCATTCAGATGTTTATTGGCAAACTTCAGACGGGCCTGTATGTGCTTTCTTGAGCAGGGGGACATTGCGGGCACTGCAGGATTTCAGTCCTTCACGGCGTAGTGTGTTACCAATTGTTTTCTTGGTGACTATGGTCCCAGCTGCCTTGAGATCATTGACAAGATCCTCCCGTGTAGTTCTGGGCTGATTACTCACTGTTCTCATGATCATTTTATCTCCACGAGGTGAGATCTTGCATGGAGCCCCAGGCCGAGGGAGATTGACAGTGCTTTTGTGTTTCTTCCATTTGAGAATAATCGCACCAACTTTTGTCACCTTCTCACCAAGCTGCTTGGCGATGGTCTTGTAGCCCATTCCAGCCTTGGGTAGGTCTACAATCTTGTCCCTGACATCCTTGGAGGGCTCTTTGGTCTTGGCCATGGTGGAGAGTTTGTAATCTGATTGATTGATTGCTTCTGTGGACAGGTGTCTTTTATACAGGTAACAAGCTGAGATTAGGAGCACTCCCTTTAAGAGTGTGCTCCTAATCTCAGCACGTTACCTGTATAAAAGACACCTGGGAGCCAGAAATCTTTCTGATTGAGAGGGGGTCAAATACTTATTTCCCTCATTAAAATGCAAATCAATTTATAACATTTTTGACATGCGTTTTTATGGATTTTTGTTGTTGTTATTCTGTCTCTCACTGTTCAAATAAACCTACCATTAAAATTATAGACTGATCATATCTTTGTCAGTGGGCAAACGTACAAAATCAGCAGGGGATCAAATACTTTTTATCCCCTCACTGTATATCGGATGAAGCTGGGATAGAAATACGAGGTTATCAGTGTTCCACAGAATGCAGAGCATTACAATCAATTTAGACGTTATACTGGTTTTTATTCTGTATAACTGACCTTTCTCAAGGATTATGTTGACTTTGGAAGATGACAAAAGCTTGTATATTTGTATATGAGTAATGGTCAAGTCAAGTGAGTATTTATTTAGTAATGGTATAGGCTCAATGCATGTCTATACGAGTCCTAGCAACTGTAGGTGGCTGCAATCAGACCAATGGCGTTGTATTTCCTGCTGGAGGGCGTATAGGTTGACGAATGGCAAGGTCATGAGGTCATTTATCACTTACACCGTCGCCCTTGCCTCCGTGAGAACCCTGGGGTCCAGGCAAGCCTCTGTCTCCCTTCTCTCCCTGCTCGCCAGGGGGTCCAATCAGCCCAATCAGACCTGGATGACCCTGGAGGACACACACACACACAAACTAGAGTCACGAGGACTGGGACAATTGAGAACACACAGGACACCTACAGTAAAAAACATTTGAAGACGATTCCATGCCTGGCACCAGTACAACCCTACTATAGCCGTTACCATTCCATCAGGTGAAGAAAAAAAATAATCGGAAACACTCATTATTCTACACATCTGAAAGCATTTTCACAGAAATGACTTTTTTCGACTGACAAAATAATTTATTTGAATTTCTCTAAATGCAACTGAGGATGATATTCACAACAACAATGTCTGGAAAATACGAGTGCCCTCTCTAGTCCCATTGATTTGAAAACATGAAAAATGGCCACAAAAAATGAAAATGAAAAGCTTGTGTCCTTTTAAACCAATCCCTGTCAATCCTGCTCTTATAATTTGTTGGTGGCCATAACAGCAGTGTCCTGTGCTGCATTACTGACTTTAACACTCTAAATTCATTGGCAGATCTGACGCTGTGCATCAAATGGAGCCTGCAATGGGGTAGGGCCCTATACAATTCAAACTGGCTACCAGATTTCTCAAAATGTCACTTTTAGTTTGCTGCATATTTGGAGTAATATACGTTTGAGTTCTTTGAGTTTCAAACTTTTAGTTTCAGACACAGTTGTGTCGAATACATGAATTTAAATGTATCGCTCCACCGAAATATGTTGTTTGACCTTTCTAGAAAAAGCTCATTGTAGGGTTCAGATGAGTGGAGGTCCAATCCCAGCCACGCTCATGGCCATGGTCTCCAACCCACTAAAGGTTAAATTCCCAACCCCTTCTCGGATCGGAGAAATCAAATCAATAAGTGCTTTGGGACGGGAAATTGAGGCGGGCTCACCTTTTCACCCTTGGTGCCGGGGTCACCCTTCAGACCTGGGAGACCAGGGGGTCCCTAATTATCACAAAAAGACAAGAGGTTTAGACATCAATTACACCACCACAGTAGAGAGAGAGATAATGAGATAGAGAAGTAGAGAGAGATAATGAGATAGAGAAGTAGAGAGAGATAATGAGATAGAGAAGTAGGAGAGAGATAATGAGATAGAGAAGTAGAGAGAGATAATGAGATAGAGAAGTAGAGAGAGATAATGAGATAGAGAAGTAGAGCGAGATATGAGATAGAGCGTAAGAGATAGAATAATGCGCTCGCGCCGTCGCGCGCCTCCGGCGCTCCCGCCTTCGCGCGCGCTCCTGCGCTCGCGCCGTCGCGCGCGCCTCTGCGCTCGCGCCGTCGCTCGCGCGCTCCTGCCTCGCGCCGTCGCGCGCGCTCCTGCCTCGCGCCGTCGCGCTCGCTCCTGCCTCGCGCGTAGCCGCCGCGCTCCTGCGATCGCTCGTCGCCGCGCTCCTGCCTCGCGCCGTCGCGCGCGCTCCTGCGCTCGCGCGGCGCAGCGCGGACGCGCGCCGGCGAGGCGACGAGCGGCCAGCGCGAGAAGGGAGGCGCGCAATGCGGCGAGCGCACCTCGAGCGCGTCGCGCGGCGGACTGGAAGAGCCGCCAGCGCGGAGCGCGCGAGAGCGCGAGAGAGCGCGGCGAGAGCGCGAGCCGCGAGAGCGCGCGCCCTCCTCAGGAGCCAGATCGAGGAGCGAGCGAGAGCGCGCGAGCGAGGAGAAACTAGAGCGAGAAGAGAGAGCGGCGGCGAGAGAGAGAGAAAGGGAGAGAGAAAGAGAAAGGTACCAATAGAAATTGAGGGACACATAGAAAGAAAGAGAGATAGAGGGCAAGAGAGAGAATAGGAGAAAGAAAGAGAAAAAGAGAGAGCACTATCACGTTATCTTTGCTGACCATAGGTCCAGGTGGGCCATCTTGTCCAGAAGAACCAGGAAGTCCTTGTTCACCCTGAGAAGAGAAAAGCCATCCAATTATAGTCCAGCAGTACAACCTGCTGTAACTCTTATGGCCTCATATTGATTTCCTGTGCCCGGCACCATGATTAATTGCAGGAATACCACAAAAAAGTGTGTTTGAATAAACAACAGAAATGTATAAAGGACAAGACAAATGGGACTATCGATTATTCCATGAGCACTGTTGTCATACGGCTTTAGGGCTGTTTGGTGTCTCTGTCTGTGTGTGTGTGTGTGTGTGTGTGTGTGTGTGTGTGCGTGCGTGCGTGCGCATGTGAATATAAGGAAAGATGATGAACTTTGGATCTCAGACTTACAACGGGGCCGGGGATTCCGCGCAGACCTTCTGGACCAGGCTTTCCTGAGGGCCCCTGTGGGCCGACGGGGCCCGTTTTACCTGGGGGTCCCTCGGCTCCAGACTCACCCTGTAGTAAGGGACAAGGGGCTATCACAATAACACAGCTCTAGATGTCCACAAGTCATTTCAATCTGGTTCAGTTGATGCTTTCTGTGCAATGACAATGTGTCTGTCTAGCATGTAAACAGGATGTATTTATGTGTTCAGGATGTCTTTATGTGTTCAGGATGTCTTTATGTGTTCAGGATGTATTTATGTGTTCAGGATGTCTTTATATGTTCAGGATGTCTTTATGTGTTCAGGATGTCTTTATGTGTTCAGGATGTCTTTATGTGTTCAGGATGTCTTTATGTGTTCAGGATGTCTTTATGTGTTCAGGATGTATTTATGTGTTCAGGATGTCTTTATGCGTTCAGGATGTCTTTATGTGTTCAGGATGTCTTTATGTGTTCAGGATGTCTTTATGTGTTCAGGATGTCTTTATGTGTTCAGGATGTCTTTATGTGTTCAGGATGTCTTTATGTGTTCAGGATGTATTTATGTGTTCAGGATGTATTTATGTGTTCAGGATGTCTTTATGCGTTCAGGATGTATTTATGTGTTCAGGATGTATTTATGTGTTCAGGATGTCTTTATGTGTTCAGGATGTCTTTATGCGTTCAGGATGTCTTTATGTGTTCAGGATGTCTTTATGTGTTCAGGATGTCTTTATGTGTTCAGGATGTCTTTATGCGTTCAGGATGTATTTATGTGTTCAGGATGTATTTATGTGTTCAGGATGTCTTTATGTGTTCAGGATGTCTTTATGTGTTCAGGATGTATTTATGTGTTCAGGATGTCTTTATGTGTTCAGGATGTCTTTATATGTTCAGGATGTCTTTATGTGTTCAGGATGTCTTTATGTGTTCAGGATGTCTTTATGTGTTCAGGATGTCTTTATGTGTTCAGGATGTATTTATGTGTTCAGGATGTCTTTATGGTTCAGGATGTCTTTATGTGTTCAGGATGTCTTTATGTGTTCAGGATGTCTTTATGTGTTCAGGATGTCTTTATGTGTTCAGGATGTCTTTATGTGTTCAGGATGTCTTTATGTGTTCAGGATGTCTTTATGTGTTCAGGATGTCTTTATGCGTTCAGGATGTATTTATGTGTTCAGGATGTATTTATGTGTTCAGGATGTCTTTATGTGTTCAGGATGTCTTATGTGTTCAGGATGTCTTTATTTGTTCAGGATGTCTTTATGTGTTCAGGATGTCTTTATGTGTTCAGGATGTCTTTATGTGTTCAGGATGTCTTTATGTGTTCAGGATGTCTTTATGTGTTCAGGATGTCTTTATGCGTTAAGGATGTCTTTATGTGTTCATAGTGATCTTTTGGTTCTTTGAAGAACCCTAACAACAGATGATAGAATGACTGGGTGCTTATCAACTTGACGTCCTTGTCATGTGTACTGTCAAAGAGCAATCCCTGCTACTGTGTTGAGCTTCAGATGACTGTATCCTACGCTAGTGTAGCCTAGTCTTATGTTCATGTATCTCCCTGCTCACAGAGCAGCATAGATAACATCTGGAGGGTTAGATGACAATGGGACTCTGTGATTGATGCGAAATAACAATCCCCAATCTAAACCAACAGCTTTACAACAGAGTGGGATAGGGCTAGTCACAACTGGCAAACCGGCTGTTGATATGTCTGCGCTAAATGAAGGTACAAAACATAGTAAACACATTAAAAACACAAAAACAGAATCTACGTTAAAATAGGCTGTGTGAGTCCATACATTTGTATCTGATCTTGAGTGAAAAACCTTCAAACTCCCCCGACTTCCTGGGGGTTGTGTCTTTTAATTTGGGAGGGGAGAGAGATTCAGGGAGAGGGGAGAGAGATTCAGGGAGAGGGGAGAGGGGAGAGGGGAGTGGGGAGAGGGGAGTGGGGGAGAGGGGAGAGGGGAGAGGGGTGGAGGGGAGAGGGGAGAGGGGAGAGGGTGGAGGGGAGTGGGGAGAGGGTGGAGGGGAGAGGGGAGAGGGGAGAGGGTGGAGGGGGGGAGGGGGGAGGGAGAGGGGAGAGGGGAGAGAGGGGAGAGGGGAGAGGGGAGAGGGGAGAGGGTGGAGGGGAGGAGAGGGGAGAGGGGAGAGGGGAGAGGGGAGTGGGGAGAGGGAGAGGGGAGAGAGATGAGGGGAGAGGGGGAGAGGCCATGGGGGGAGAGGGGAGAGGGGAGAGGCATGGGGGGAGAGGGGAGAGGGGAGAAGGGAGAGGGGAGAGGGGAGAGGGGAGTGGGGAGAGGGGAGAGGCATGGGGGAGAGGGGAGAGGCATGGGGGAGAGGGGAGAGGCATGGGGGGAGTGGGGAGAGGGGAGAGGGGAGAGGAATGGGGGCTTGCTGTGGAGTCTGGAGTTCCTGAGGCTGCTCTCTGAGTAAAGGCTGAATTGGTTTAGCAGGTTACCTTGTTGCCCTTCTCTCCTTGTCTACCCTCTGCACCGGCAGATCCTGGGGGGCCCTGGGGAGGAAGAGAAGACAGGCTTGAGTATCACACAGTAGTGTGTTCGTGTGTGTGTGTGCATGCAGAATGTGTGTTTGTGTTTGTTTGTTAGTCTGTGTGTGTGTGTGCATAGGGCGGCGAACAATTGGCCCAGCGTCGTCGGGTTTGGCCGAGGTAGGCCGTCATCGTAAATATGAATTTGTTCTTAACTGACTTGCCTGGTTAAATAAATGTAAAAAAATAAAAATAAAATAAACATTGTGAGGGCAGTAATTCAGGTCAATTGTAACAACATTGTTACTGTGACATACATCCATTTGACATCAATCAAACACACCAGTATGAACCTAGAATTATTTTTGCAGTGAACTATTATATTTATTTGGCTACTGGGCTGTAAATAAACCTAGAACCAAATACTAGTCAAACTAGACATTGTAATATTTACATTTTAGCAGACACTCTTATCCAGAGAAACTTACAGTAGTGAGTGCAT